CCGCAAAACCCCAAAACCCCAAAACCCCACGTTTCTACTTCCTTTGATTATTATTGAATTATTAAAAGATTTTTTATTTAAATTTAGAGAATTTTTATTATATATGGTTACTCAAGTTCAATGGATAATCTTGCTTTTGTTTATAATGGCTAAGCGAAATTCTAGTTATGATTTATAAATTCATGAAAATTGTAACGTATTCTGGAATGGTGGATTAGCTTATACTGATAAGTCATTTAGATAAGGTACCTTTTAGTTTTAACTAAGATAATCCAATATGACTGATGTGGTAACGATTATTGGATTTTCGGATGATCAAGATTCAGGGGGAGATAATTTTGTGCAATTAGCTTTTGAAAACTCTGACCAAAATATCACTAAATTTTTCTTAGAATTCGGATTCAAAAGTAATGATACTCATAAGATAGCTCTAGGGCAAGTTGACATTTCAAACTTAAATATTAGTTTAATAGATGATGAATATAACTTGTTTAATATTAGTATCACAATAGATTCAGATAATGAGGATTATTTTAGCGTGGTTATCTAAAATAGCTATTTCAACATTGGCTAAAGATTTCAAGATAACATTAACTAGGATTAAATAAAACTTCTAAATCTCTTAAAGAATTTCCCACTTGAATTTCAAATGCATTTTGCATCTTGGAAGATGGAGCAGTCTATCGATATTAATTCTGATGACACCTAATCAACTTCTCAAGATAACTAATCCTCATTATAAAGTATTTAAGACTGGAATACTTAATCATCAATTAGAAATCTCAAATACATTGAAAGATCTCAACTTAATTCAATGAGTGTTGACTCAGATAGTATCTTAGATGTCAATATTTTCTAAAGCTTAAGCACGATCTACACTCCTCTCTGGGCTTAAAATTCAAAGAGGACTTGCAATTTTCAAGAGTGGAATGTAAAAGTAAATAACCATAGCTAATAATAGAATAATGAATTAACAATTGCAGTGACTTAAAATTTTCTTTAAATTGATAGATCATCATGGAAAAATTATCCCTAAAGCAATAATGCTCAAAGTTCAATTATTTCTATTAAAAATGAGACTTCTGAATCAATACAATTAAAGGTATTAGGTCTCACTAAATCTTCTAACATCCTTGGATAAATGGGAATCTTCCTACCAAATAAAACTATTTAAATTGAAATATGTAGTAACTTAACTTCAACATCAAAAAAGTTTCATTTATTCAAAATTCAGCTATTCATGAGGCAAAACAGTTTTCCATTTACAAAGCTTACTATGCCCGAATAATTTAGGATAAAAGACTATTACTAATGCTAGTCAGTTGAGTTATAATCATTGTTTTTAGAACTATATTCCTCTGAAATTATAGAAGATTAAGTGGAATTAGTAATAGACACTAATTCATTGCTTGAGAATTAACTAATTACTTAATAAGCATAGAGAAATCCAATACCTGACCTTGATTTATATATAGATATTTTAAGTCTCACTTTCTATGAAAAAACATAAAACTCGGATGCACAATTGGGATCTTTATTAATAGAAACTAATCTAAGTCCAACTGCAGCAATTAATAACAATGCTCCTAAAAAAAATTAAACAAATAACTAGGCAAATTCATCAATGCAAAATGATACTTAAAATAACAGTACAAATTAGATCAACCAAGCTTCTTCTGTAGATGATAGCACAATAGATATAAATGATCAAAACTTTAAAAGATCATTTTACGTGGCAATTGTTTCTTATAATGTTGCGACTGTTCTTCTCATCTTATTTGCTATATTTTTGATTAGGCAATTCAAAAAAAGCAGATTGATTCTTCATAAATTAACTAATGAAATAGATGATATGCAAATCAAGTTAAAGGAAAAGTCTATCATCCTAAATGATTTATTAGAGATCATTGAGATCAATGAAAATATTATTAAAGATTATAAAGAAGATAAATTGAAATTAAAACAGTCGTTTAACAACTATTTCAAAAGTACTAATGATTAGAATTTAAGTTCAATAAATCCAGAGAAATTAAGTTATAAATCAATGAAGAACACTGAAAAGCTATTACATATTAGCAATAGTCTAAGATCGTCATCTATACAGGATACCAGTCATTCCTACCTAATATTAAATCAGAGTTTAAATTATTCACCGAAGTAGTGATAAAGCTGATAAATAGTTTATTCATATTTAGGAAATATTATAATATTCTACTGAGGTACTGGTAATATGAAAATAAGAATAATAAGGATGATATATTAATAATTTTGGTATAAATTTTAATTTTCTATAATTCTAAATTTCTTTAATTTAAAGTTAAATGGGGTTTTGGGGTTTTGGGG